CGGGGAGGAGCCTGCCACCGGGGTCCGTGCCCTGGACCGGAATCGAACCCAGAACCCTGTGGCCCGCAGGCCGACGCTCTATCCGCTGAGCCACGCTGGCCAGGGCTGAAGTCGCCTTTTTAAGACACGCCGGGAGCTGCGCACCTGCTTCTGTCGTGGCGCATGCGGTGTTGCTGGGCTGGCTCCTCGGCCCGTCCTCCAGCAGCGCCTGGGCGATCGCGCAGTACACCGTCCGCGGCTTCAGGCTGGGGACCGTGAAGTCGGCTCTCTGCTCCACAAAGGTCTTCCGCTGTGAACAACAAGCCGCCATGGCAGACTCAGCCCCGCGGGCTCGCACGGGGACGTCCACTTTCCCAATTCTCTACAGATTCGCCCCAGACTGGCCTGCCACACAGCTGGCGCAGGCTCAAGAGAGAGACTCCTGATTGAGACAGGACACTATCACCAAGCCGGAGAGTCAAAGGTGCTGCTGCAAAGAGCAATATGATCACTTTTTAATTTTAATTAAAATGTTGTTTTTACTGATTTTAGAGAGAGGGGAGAGCGAGAGACAGAACATCAATGACGAGAGAACTGGCCCTGCCGCCCGGGCCGCCCTGACCGCCGGGGACTGGGCAGTCACGGCGTCTCTTGGTTGTTTTTGTTTTTGGAGGACGTTTATGAAAGCTGAGGGCAGAGAAACAAGGAAGGACCTCGAACAGAAGCAGCAACAGGAGAGCCCGGCTGCCCTGGCTCCCGGGGAAGTCAGAGAAAAGGGGGCCCTGGGAGGAGCTGCCCACTGCTCCCCTGGCTGCAAGTCTCCTGCGGCCCCTTGAGGTCAGGAGATGCACGCCCTGGGGAGGGAGGGGAGGGAAAGTGCGGACGTGCTCCCTGGAGGGACAGCGTGCCCACAGAGTCTTACAGTCTGAAATTTTCCCTATAATTTTAATGGCAAGCTTTTTAAAAAATACATTTTTATTGGTTTCAGAGAGGAAGGGAGACGGAGAGATATGATGAGAGAGAATCACTGATTGGCCGCTTCCTGCACGCTCCCTACTGGGGATCGAGCCCGCAACCCGGGCATGTGCCCTGACCGGGAATCCAACCTTGACCTCCTGGTTCATAAGTCAAAGCTCAATCACTGAGCCACACCGGCCGAGCCAAGCTTTATCGTCACTCAACCAATTAGAACTCTCAATGACAAAATTACACTAGTCTTTTTACCTCAGTATTTGAAGCGTTTTCCCAAAAACTGACTTCATAGGTGAGCGGGTAGTGCTGGAGCTCGGTCTGGTCCTGGAGGCCGATGGAGACTCGGAGCGAGTGGCTGCTCAGGGGCTTCAAGGCCACGATCAGAGGAGGGATGACAACTGGGAGGGGCGAGGGCATGGCGTTCGCTTAGATGAGATGAGGGCAAAGGGCCTCCAGGGTGAAGAATCAGAATCCAGAGTACAAGCGACTGGCTTACCTTGCCTTCCAGCATCAAACTTCTCCTCCTCGGACCAGGGGGACGAGCTGTTCCCGCGGGAGGCCCGGACGCGGAAGTAGATCCCTTTCCGGAACACGTCCTGGGGCGGGGCACACCAGGCCACGGGGGCGCGCTCGCAGCCCTGCACTTGCGCCCACTTTTCTGACTTGCTTCCAGAGGTCCTTTTCAAATAAGACCTTTTAAGACAAAAAAAGTTTGTTTTTAATTCCAAATGCATTGATTTAGTATTTGTATCGAGTGCCTGTAGCAGGCAGCCATCCTGTGAGGGGCTGGGCTGTAACGGTGAACAGTGCCCTCAGGAAGTGGGTGCCAGGGGACGAGAGCCTGTTCTCAGGGGAGCACCCGGGGGCGTGGGGCTGCTTGGCCTGTGCGCAGGGCCCTTCCATGCCCGGGAGCTGCGGCCGGCTGCTAGACAGCTGCTATGAACACTTGAAGAGGCGACGAGGACGGCACCCGGAGCTCAGCGTGTCCTGCTTGGCTGCACTTTACTGATGGTTCCAGATGTGCAAATACTGTGCCGTGGGGCCCCGCGCCCCGGGGCACTGCTGTGCCGGCCGCACAGCGGGGGAAAGGTGCGGGCTCCATTATATTTTACAATTGCTTCGCGCAGGTGGCGCGCCCAGTCAGATGCTGAGGTTCTGAGCTGCTGATTTCTAATGGGATCTGTACGGGGTGCTTCTGGACCTGGGCCACCTCGGATGGGTGCACGCGCAGGTGTCCGTGTGCATAGTGTCAGGAGCCGCGCCACCGTTCACGCCCACGTGAATCTACATTAGCTCTGGCTGCGCTGAGAAAGCCTCGCCGACACTCCTGGGCGCTGTCTGGCCCCCGAGCCTGTCTGCTGCCTGGCCGCTGGCTCCTGGGGCCCACAGAGGCCCTGAAGACGCCGTGCGCCCCGTCTTAGGGACCTACCGCCACTGGTGTGTTAACCAGGGCGTCGGGGATTTCCCTCTGGCGCACCCCACACAGGCAGGCAAGCCCAGGGCCCGCGTCGGGAACGAGCCGGCGGCCTTTCTGTGCACGGGCAATGCCCAACCCAGAGCCACACAGGCGGGGCGGAGTGTCTTCTAGAGTGAAGGGCACCCAGCTTTTCTAAAGACATCTCCTAGGGTCTGCTTCCGGTCCCCAGGAAAGACCAAGCGTCTGACCGTCTCCGGGGAGCGAGGATGCGTCCTTGCCAGGCACCAGGCAGTGTAACTGGCAGCACCGGACCCCGACTCAGCCCCGACAGGCCCCGTGGCTGCTCTTCGAGGCCTCCCGTGTGGACGGGCCGTGGCAGACGTGTCCCGCTCCTTCTCTTCACCTGTGGACAGGCCGAGCGCGCGCCTGTACTTTTAGGACCTGTGATCCGAAGATGTTCTTCTTTCCCAACAGCCATACCCTCTCGACAGCTCCTGCAGGAGCCGGGGCTCAGGCTCCCAGCGTC